TATATACCCCACATATATATATATATATATATATATATATATATATACAGTATGTGTATTATATGGTGTAATAATACTGATAATAGCTTAATTACCTGAACATTTTATATAATTCTTAAATATAACAAATTTAGATGGTGTAGGGAATTATGTGTGCTCCTTTCTATTCATGGGCTTAACCCAGTTTAAACATCTAAATTCTAAAATACCTCAATATTTCACTTCATTGACTTAAAATAGTATAAACCCAAACAACTCCATTACACACGAGTATCTGAGCAACTTAATTCCTATTTCCTGCATAATTCTAAATAATGCTGTGATCGTTTAAGTGTTTGTGTGTTCCTCAAATAAACTGCAGGTCTGGGCAGGGTGCCGATGCCAAGATAACAGGGGCACCAGAGATAACGAGGGTAACATGAGTGTGAAGTGAGCGGGTCGCTCTTTTGGGACGCACTAAAAAGAGAATGTGGAGAATTCCTCAGAAAAGAAGAGGTAAAAATGTCATAGAGCAGGACAGATTGGTTAGGCATCTGATAAGCAGCTCAGCCAACAGTCGGACTCACCCGCCAAAACAACGTGTACAAGAATTTCACCCTGCAACAACAGTGAGGCACAATAAAAATCCTAACAGGTTAACTAAAGGTCAGAAGTCTTTTTCCCCCTTCAGTGATACACAAGTAGCCACACAGATCAGATAGTGAAAAGATATCCTGATGGTAAATATATATAAATATAAATATCATATAATCCTAATGACAAATCCATCCACACATTTTTCTAAAGAGATACACTACTGTTCAAACGTTTGGGCTAAGATTTATTATTAGTATTATTATTATTAAATACTGTTATTCAGCAAGGATGAATTCAATTAAAATGACAGTAAAAAAAATAATTATAATGTAACAAAGATTTCTTGCTGTTTTTTTAAACTTGCTCTTCATCAAAGAATCCTGAAGAAAATCATGCTTTCGATCATGGTTTTATCATCTACATATTATAATGATTTCTGAAGGATCATGTGACACTAACGACTGGAGTAATGATGCTGAAAATTCAGCTTCACAATCACAGGAATAAATTATGCTAATATTTATTAATGTATATGCAATTGTTGTTAATAATAATAATAATAATATAACACCTGAGTGACATGCTACTTTCTCTATTTTATCCAATCAATGAGCAAAAGATTTGATTTTAATTAAAGAAGAAAAAAGAGTCTATGAAATACTGCACTGCCATAGTGAGCCTGTAACAGATCGGCCAGGCTCCACCACCACCCAATCACAACGATCCCTCTCACCTGAGTTCTGAGCACCAGCACCTGTCACTAATCAAGCACCTCATTAACCAACCTGCATAAAAGCATACACCTCAGACACCCTCATTGTCCGGTGTCGTATACACGTAGAGGACTCAATGACTTTGCTACTACTTCCATTTGAATACTTCCTGCATTACTTACCTCCTGTGTTCCTCCTAGTGTCTCCTCGTCTCCAAGTGTCTCCTGTTCCTCCTAGTTCACGGATCGCTGAGGTGTGTGCTCCTCCTGCCTGCATTCCAGCTCCTGTAAAGCCAAAGACCCAGATTACCCCACTCATCATATCCTTCGAACTATTCCCTCACCATCACATCCTCTGAACCCTACCCCAGTACTCTCTGTGACCAAATAAACCTATTTTATATATACTAACCTGTTGCGTCAGACCTCTTCCGTTACAGAAGACCGGACCAACACCGACGGCACAGATGAGTCACCCCGATCCATTCCAGGAGCTCCTAGACTCACTACGACGAGTGCTACGCAATCCATCGGTGCAGCAATACCAGTCCACGCCACAACCTCCTGCCTCCGCCGACCAGAGCCCAGTAACCCTCCAGAACCAGCACCAGAACCCATGAGTGTGGAGAAACAACGGTTATCTTCCGCTGAGCGGCAGAGAAGGCTGACCCGGGGTCTCTTGCCAGCACATTGCGGAGGTCCTCCAACGCCTGAGAGAGCACCACCTATTCCTCAAGGCTGAAAAGTGCACTTTCCACCAACCCACAGTGCAATTCCTGGGGTATAACATTGATCGTGCCGGTATCCAGATGGACGAGGGGAAGGTGGAAGCTGTAACCTCCTGGCCAGAACCCACTACAATTAAAGAGCTCCAACTATTCCTCGGATTTGCCAACTTTTACCATCGCTTCATTCTAGACTATAGCAAGATCACCAGCCCACTCACATCGCCCTGGTCCCAGAAACGTCAAGGCAGACGCCTTGTCACGTATTCACAGTCATGTGGAAGGCCCAGAAGAACCGGAAAGTATCATCCCACCAAAGATGATCGTCAGTCCCATTGAATGGAATTGAATTCCCATTGAATTCCATTCCCCAAACATGGCTCCCAACAATCCACCGGGCTGTGCTCCAGGATGCCAGTACGTACCACGAACACAACGCACCCCACTGATTCACTCTGCTCACTCCTCCCGAGGCACTGGCCATCCAGGGGCCAACAACACCCTCTCGCTGCTACGAGATCGCTTCTGGTGGCCCAATATGGCAAGGGACGTGAGAAGGTTCGTGCAAGGATGTCCAGACTGTGCCATGTCCAAAAGCCCGCGCCACTTACCATCTGGCAAACTCCTTCCTCTACCAGTGCCAAATCGCCCCTGGTCACACCTAGGAGTAGACTTTGTCACGGACCTGCCACCCTCGGAAGGTAACATGCATCCTGGTAATAGTTGATCGTGCCCCTCAGAGGTCTCCCCACTGCACTGGAAATGGCTGAACTTCTCTTTAACAAGGTCTTCCGCTATTATGGCATTCCCGAAGACATCGTCTCAGACCGGGGACCTCAGTTTATTTCAAAGGTATCGATCCCTCTCACCTGAGTTCTGAGCACCAGCACCTGTCACTAATCAAGCACCTCATTAACCAACCTGCATAAAAGCATACACCTCAGACACCCTCATTGTCCGGTCTCGTATACACGTAGAGGAATCAATTACTTTGCTACTACTTCCATTTGAATACTTCCTGCATTACTTACCTCCTGTGTTCCTCCTAGTGTCTCCTCGTCTCCAAGTGTCTCCTGTTCCTCCTAGTTCACGGATCGCTGAGGTGTGTGCTCCTCCTGCCTGCATTCCAGCTCCTGTAAAGCCAAAGACCCGGATTACCCCACTCATCATATCCTTCGAACTATTCCCTCACCATCACATCCTCTGAACCCTACCCCAGTACTCTCTGTGACCAAATAAACCTATTTTATATATACTAACCTGTTGCGTCAGACCTCTTCCGTTACAGAGCCAGTCTATAAAAGTAAATATCTAGCAAGTGACTGTGGAAAAGCAAGGAACATTTACCTGCTTTAGACAGAAAGATAAAATACAGAAGGAAAAAGTCAGTGCATAAGTGCTTGACGTGTGAATCAGAAGTCAATAGTTTCATTTTAAAACACAAGTCGGTAATTTTTAGAGTGATAATAATCTCTCATCATGAATCACACCCTCTGACCCCTAGACTGACACTTGATCTGAAAGATTATGATTTAACCCTTGACCAAAACTAAAGATACTAATGTCAACCTACAAACAGAAAGAGAGAGATTACTAGGGGGGAAAAACTGGATTACAGAAAAAGTAATTAGCTGTTATAGTAGTTTATAAAATAAAATCACACATTTTAAACAGTCTTTTAGCCTTCAAAGGCTATGTTTTTTGTTTGTTTTTATATGCATGTGCATATACTTGATTAAAACTGACACGTGTTATGGCATGCTGTTTTAGGCAAAATGTTAAAGCTTCAGGCAAAATATTTTTTTTTTGTAAATGAGAGAATAATTTGAAAACAAAAAGTGTATAAACATAAAGCACATACCTGCCACCCCATTAATTAATCCATTAAATACCGAAATTATAAAAGGTCAGACTTCTTCATGAAATAAATACATCTCGACAATAAATAAATAAATAAATAGACCCGCATATAACAAAAAAAGTAATAATTTAATACAGTTATTTAAAAATGAAGTTTTTTTTTTTTTTTAAACGCTAATTTAATAGTTATTTTAAAAATGAAGTATTAAAAAAATGCTGTAGAATGAACTTTCCTCAGGCAACAAACGTGATCAGAAGTCATGGCGCGCCCTCTAGTGTCTGATGAAGCGCGTTACGCGCTCAGGAAAAACACCTGAAGTTCATCATCAACCGATCTAATTTATCAGCTATCTGCGTGCAGTGTTTTTCCTCGCTGTTTACAGGTGTGCGTCCATGTGAATGGCACAGTTTATATTACTGTTCAATCCTTGCTGCAGGTGGCAGATATACTGATCTGATATACAGTGTTGATTATTTTATCAGGTAAAGGAATATTAAGCGCCCCTTTGTAAACAAACATTTATGAGTGGGGCCAAGCTGACTGGCTTGTGAAGAAAAGGTGCAGAAAGATTCTCTTCTCACACCGTTTCACCTCAACAGCGTTCATGCTGACTGAAATGACAAGCTGTTTTATCGAAAATGACTCTGTAGGTTCAATCAGTCTGTCTGAATTATCCAGCTCATCATCTGTGTCTGACAGAGCATGTGTTCACTGGGGTAAGATCATTTCTGTCCTGTACAGCGAGCCTTTGCAATTACCTGAATTGTTTTAGTCGCTTTTTACTTGCTTTCTTTCCTGAAAGGTTGTGTGCTCAGTGGCTCTGAGACCACAGCTGTCTTTCAAGCAGAAAATTACCTTCTGGAGAACCAGTTTTTCATCAAAACGGTAACCTAGATTTGGGCCTTCATAGTCTATCCCAACATGAAAACTGTTAATATTTACTCACCTTCATGCCGTTACAAACTCGTATGACTTTTTTTTTTCCATCCGTGGCGTATGTTATTCAGCTTAACTTCCAGCTAGCTGTTGATCGTTGTTAGTGGATCATTAATTTAATGATTTGAACTTGAGTACGGGATTTGTGAACGAAGCATCGCGTCATCCGATTCATTGAGTCATTCTTCAGTCAATTATTTTCATTCATGAAGCGAACATTGCTCATCAACATGCAGAGGAAGCCATGTTAGTCTTATTTATTTTATTGGATTTATTCACCTTATCTATTCTTTTTTTTTAGTTGTATATTATTTTTATCGTGGGAAAAAATCTTGAAATAATTTGCCTAAGCGATTAAAAAAAAACTGTAATGTGTCAGGGCCTGGAGCTACTTTACAGTAATTTATAAAACTTGTATGATGATTTATTATTTAGCTATCTCTCCAGTAGCTGTTAATATTTGTGACTGCATTGTTGATTTAATTTTTAGAAATGGAGCACTGGATTTGTGAAGGAATCATTGTATCATTCGATTCATTGAATCAATCTTCTCAGTCAATTCTTTTCATTCATGAATCGAACATTGCTCATCAACATGCAAAGGCAGCCATGTTTGTCATTCATTCAGTCATTCATTTATTCAAGGCTTGAAATAATGTGCGGAAGTGATTAAAAACTGTAATGCATCAGAGTCAATGCGTTTTATCATTTTGTAGTCTACATTCTCTCTTCATTATAAAAGACTGGCCAGGATATTTGTGAAGTTCACCTTTTGTGTTTATGGGTCATTTACGTTTTGGTTCATGAAGGTGAGTAAATTACTTTTTTTTTTTTTCTTTTTTTTTTTAATGATTACATTTTTTGAATGATCTATTAAAAAGTGTATGAGTGAGCCTGATAACCTACACCCACATCCATAGTCTTCAACCGGTTTGTCAGTACAGTAAAATGGCCTGATTTCTATTTTCACAGATATGTCTTAGTGAGGAGGCAGGAGACGAGATGCATATAGTGGCCGTCTGTGACGATGTCGGAGCTTCCAAACCGTTGCCCATTGCCACCCTCCGCCACTGTATGCCAATGGTGAATTATTGTGGCTCATAGTTTGATTGAAAGTTTTCAGAAACTGCTAATCATATATAAGACTAGATATTTTGTCATATGTTGCAGATCAGTTTTCCCGGTTTGGAGCTTATTCCCCCTGTCACCTTTAAACTGTGCTCGGGTAAAGGACCCGTGTTCATCTCTGCTCAGCATATAACATGTAAGACCTTGCATTGGAATACTTATTTTGTGTTTTTTAGGGTTGGGCAAAATTCACTATTTTAGCTCCTTGCTAATTCACACGTGTGAATATTCAGGGTGCTGACTGGAAATTTGAATTGCAATGACAGGAGGATTTATGAACTGCAATTCAGAAATGTCAACATGGTTACACAGCCAAGGAGCTTCAATAGTCCAACACAAGTATATCGTTTTTTTCAGTTGATTGTATACATTTCTTTAATACTATGAAAACAAATAAAACGGGCACCAATATTGATTTTCAGTTTGCTAAATATCCACCTCGACACTCAGATCATTTTAGAAATATTGGATATTGTAATTTCCCGAAATCGTCCATGATTCCCATGTATTTTAATATTTAAAGAACGAATACTAATTCTCAAATTTTTGTATTTTAATTCTAAATGGTGCTCAACCATGCCATTGCTAAAATTCTTTTCTTTTTTGCAGTGAATCCCATTGAGATGACAGAGGGGGAGGAGGATGATGAGGATGAAGATGATTAAATGCCAATGATGAGAGCTTATTTTGACCGTTTGAACCATAATGGGTCCTGTGGGACAGTGATTGTGCCAGTATTTGTTACTGAAGCATCACAGTGTTTGCCAACATTAAAAAACTATTAACTTAAAGTGTTTTAATGCTAATGAAAGAGTAATAAAATACAAAGTGTAAATAATACCACATGATTTTATCGGATGTATTTTTCCCTATATGTAGACCGAGATGCATACCTACTTGTACACAAAATGTTTAATAAAACATGCATTTGACTTGAAGTGAGAAATAGAGTATGTACTGGTGGTGAAGTATTTGTGAATCCTACTTTTGGCAGCATGTTAATTATAACATTAATTTTATGATTTCTTATTTTGATTTCTAGCTTGATGAGGGTATAACATCCTGAACTATAGCAGAGTTTATATGAGCTGTTGCTAGGAAACAGTCACGCATCTAAGCAACAGACAGTAAACAAACCCTTGCAGTTGTCATTGACATAGAGCTGCAGAATGAGTGCTGTTTACAGTGAGAAAAGAAGTCAATGCACCAGCACAAGATGTCTGCTCGCTTTGTGTTTGATGGCGCAGGGTTCATGTCATCTGAAATGAACCTTCTAGAGGATTTCAAGCGAGACACGCATCCCGATAAAGTGAATCTTGCAGGGAGGGGTGAGTGATTTTACTGCCTCTGCCCCACACTGGACACGGACTGCCGCCTGTAATGATGATGGCACATAAAAAAAACCTATGAAACCAAAATTGAATTTTAGCCTGTGTGTTAGACTCTTAAGGTCATTTACATGCTAATGTACTCATAAAATGTTAGAAATACAGGAACACACTAGTCTGCATGAGTTGCCAAATACCACATACTTTTTTAAAAACAATAGCTTTTCTTGTTTGTTTTTTGCTAAATCCATTCTATTCTCGAGGAATACTAAACCATAAAAAATGACAAGTCCATATACACTACAGGTTAAAAGTCTGGAATCATTTTTTTTTATTTTTTTTATTATTATTATTATTTATTTTTAATCATAAAAAAATAAGAAGCTGAATTTTCAGCAGCCACTACTCTGGTCTTTAGTGTCACGTGATCATTCAGAAATCATTAAATAAATGTTAATATGGGTTTTGGAAATCATTCTAATGCTTAATGTATTTGTGGAAATTAGCATACATTTTTGTCAGGATTATTGTTTAAAATATTGAACAAAATTCACAGTATTTATTTGAAATGGAAATCCTTTATAACTTTATAAATGTCTTTACTGTCACTTTTCATTAATGTAATGTGTGCTGGCTGAATAAAAATAATTTATTTCAAAATGATAATAATAAATCTTACCCCAAACTTAACTCAAAATATTAAGCAGCACAACTGTTTGGAACATTGATAATAATAAGAAATTTTTGAGCAGCAAATTATTAGGATGATTTCTGGAGGATCATGTGACACTGAATACTGGAGTAATTGATGCTGAAAATTCAGCTTTGCATCACAGGAATAAATTATATTACAAAATATATTCAAAAGAAAACCATTATTATAAATTGTAATACAATTTCACAATATTACTGTTTGTACTGTATTTTTGATCAAATAAATGCAGCTTCGATGAGCAGAAAAGGATATAGAGTATATTGGAGAGCATGGACACAGTGCATGGCTTCCTCTTGTATGAAAAATCAAGCAGCAAATTGCCACAGACCCGACTCTAACCCCAGAGTACCCACCCATCCTTGGGATCCCAGAATTCACCAGAAGGGCAACCGAACTTGCACTGGACAAAGATAGCCCTGCCATTATGGAAAGCAGGGTAACATCCTTTTAATTGTTTTCAGTAAACGACATTACACTGTAGACCATCTTTCTATAAAATATTATCCCACAATTGTTGAAAGCTCATGTTAATCCCCAGTCCCGACTGATCCACAGCGACTCGCAAGCTGAATACACTGATAGTGCATGAGAGGCTTAGTACATACCCACTGTGTAGTTTGTTTGCAGATGATGTAAAGCCAGTCGCCTTCAACGCTATCTGGAAATGTCAGTGCAAGCTGTAAACCAAATATAGCTTTTGATTATTGAACTACGGAGATAATGTGACTCAAATGGGTTAGTCACACACGTCAGTAATTAAAGATACTGGTGCTGAATAGAAACTAACCACCACTGATCACTTTACTGTTATTAAACTGATTAAAGGCCTGTTCACACCAAGAACGATAACTATAAAGATAACGATATTAGCGTCCACACCAGTGAAAGATATCATCTGTAAGCGCACGCTCGTCTGTAGCTTTAAATTCTCGCGCTCATTATAGCAAGATTGATTCTGATTGGCTGTCAATGTTTTTATCGTTCATCAGCTGAATAAAATCGTTCTGAAAGTGATTCCAACGATATTGTTTCTCTGTGCCTTTATCGTTATAGCTTCGGTGTGAACTCTGCTATTCTTTAATATTGAGAACGTTTTTTAGAACTATATCGTTATCGTTATCGTTATCTTTATCTTTATAGTTACCGTGCATGGTGTGAACTGGCCTTAACACTTAAGTTTTAATAGTCCAGTTAAAACAATTAAAGGCCTGACACAAACCCCAGCCTTCACATTTCCTTCATCCTTAAGCTTTTCAACCAGGTGGAACAAGCAAATCTTGGTTTCTTTTATAAATAAATTCGACATTTGGTCTTTGTCAGAGAAAGTTTCTCCATGATTGTCCCCCAGAACTGTCAAAAGTTGTGATAGACAAACAAGCTCAGGTGTCTTATTATGGCAAGTCTGTTTTTCACACACAGTCAGGATTGGGGGCATGTCCAGTTCAGAGGAGGGAACATGTGCCCACGAGCTCAGACGTTTGAGCAGAGTTCATTTTGAATGCAACTTCCGAAGCACTGTATATCTATCTGATTATTAAAAATTAATGCATGATTTACAGTACATTTATGTATTTATCCAAAGCAACTTATAGTGCATTTAAGATACACATTTGATCAGTTATTGCTTTCCCTGGGAATTTAACCCATGACCTTTGCGTTTCTAATTCCATGTTCTAGAGTTTTGATCAACAGGAAGACTTGATTGTTTTATAGGGATGTCCCGGTCAGGTTTTTTGTGCTCCCGTTCCGATCCAAGTCATTGAATATTGAGTATCTGCCGATAACGAGTCCCAATCCGATACTTGTATATTCCTATAGGAATGTATATTTGGTGCACACTTACAGTACATCAAAATCAATCCAATGTATGCAGAGTTGTGCAGAAAGCAAAAGTAATATATACATGATGTATGTTTATGTATATTTATTACAAGATACTCTCTCTCTCTATGTATATATGCACACACTGTATACAGATATTGGCATATGTAAACATGTTACAATGGTAGACATTGTAAACAAACTCTGTGGTCACAATTATTAATATGGAACTACTTGATATAAACTGCTTATATTTTATATGTATAATAAGCAGAGTAATTGCAACATAAAGTGAAGATAAGGTTAGAAAGCATGAAGCTTGTGCTGTCAGAATGCCAGTCTGTCAGTCAAGTCTGAGTTCAATGGGACTTGCGACCATAGTTAGCTAACAATGTTTTTGGGAAACACATCCCAGATCTGCTACGCACACTGCTGCTGTAGAGCAAATACTTGCTACTGACAGTAGATACACAGACTTGCTGTGAGCATGTACAGCTACCACATAAATCATGTTGATCTAGGCAGGTGGAGCTGGGGGAGGTGGAGGGTTTTAGAGAAACTGCACTGCAGCTTACAGCGACCACTGAACCAGACCATTTAAATGTTAAGCAAGCAATCTCATTGGCCAATCAGCTTGTGCCATGTAGTAAATGATGTGGTTGCCAGCAGATTGCATCCAAAACAACTGCCATCTAGAGTTTTATGACTGAACTAGATATTCTGACTTAAAAAAATAAAAATCTGTAGATCTCGCATTTTTAAATGCAAAAATGTGTTCTGCATTAATGGACTACTACTGGTGCACCTCCAAAAATATTTTCTTGACATCCCTGTGCACACTAATAATTGTTTATTGTTGTTTTAATTTAAAGTGGATCAGGAGTAATTATAGTAAAAAAAAAAAAGGCTACTTTCATCTGAAATGAATGATTTTTGTATTTTTGTATCTTGCATAATATTAACACATTTCTGATTTGGCGTTAATTAAAGGGTACTTGCGCCTTGCTGAGGGGCCAAATAAGACAAAAGGGTGTTGGGAAATACTGATGTTGTGGGTTACGTTTCCAAATTACTAGCTCGGATGAAATGTGTTTGGAAATGCGGTAGGTGTTTGGTGTCCAAACAGTTGGATGTACTGGAGCAGTGCATCTGGGTGCTGAGTTACTGAGATCCTGCTACTGTTCAAGCTCTTCCTGGAGTGGAACCATCATCTTGCTCTCCTCTCCCTGTGATGGTCTGTACAAAATGTGCACGTGCCATGCAGAAATTGTAATGTTCAAGCACTGGATGCACCAGCTGTGTGTCATTTACAGCTTAGTTCATTTTTTAAATAAATAGGCTACAACTTACACACTTCTAAAAATTTTTTCATTGTACCGTTAAACTTAGATGAAACATAGTCATCTAAGCCTCCAACCAAGAGTAATGGTTGCAATAAAATAGCAGACTGACTGAATTGTATCAATAAGCTCTTGTTTTACCTGACTGACTTCAGTCCTTTACACATATGATAATGTTGACATTTACACTTTAAGAGAGAGAATATTATGTGAATAAATTATTTTGTTAGTGGCTCTTCAACACAAGCCCAACCTAAACAGCATGCCTTTGTGTGCATCTGTTGTGCATGTCAATTAAAGTCAATCATAAAAAAAAAAAAAAGTAATTTATGATGTTTTTGCATTAGTATTTATTTATTGATCCTTGGTCATTTCAGATACAGTTTCTGAGTGTTATTTACATACAAAAATACCTATGTTTTTCATGATTAAGTAGTATCCAATTTCAATGGAAACATTATTTGCATGAGTTTAGAATCAAGGATAAACTGAAATTCACAGCATTTCAACAACTTTGGCTCACATATTAGAAGGCCTTAAAAACAAGTGGTGCCGCCGATAAAGTACAAAGTTAGTTACAAACTAGCTAGTAGTTATTGGGCCTGTATTGTGGACTTTACATTCCAACTTAAGTAAGAACTTACGAAGAGCTGGTGCAACCCTTGCCAGTAATTTTAGACAAAACCTGAATATAAACACACATTTG